AGTAGTAGAAGAAGGATTATCTACACTACCTTTGCCGAGTATTTCCCATTTATTGTTGTCTCCGTAGGTTACAAATCCCTTCTTCTTTTCCACAAATACAATGAATAGAGAAATGTTTCCCGTCATGTGTCTTGAGCATCCACTATCGATAACCATCTTCTCTCCGTAGACTCAAGAAATTGCACCCACACAATCAAACAAGGGATATAGGTATCCAATTTTTATTGGGTCCTTGGTTGTGAGTGAATTCTTGGTTGCATTTGGGAAACCGTTGATAAACTCCTTTAGGAACTAAAAACCTCCCAAAGTGACATTTGACAATGGTATGACCCCTATTGCAACAATACAAGCAAGTAAGATTAACATTAGTGTCACTTTTGTTAATTTGATCTTTTATCACATAAGTGTATTTTTGATATGGATTATTCATACTTTTTCTAAAATGTGATCTATCAATAGTAAAAGTGATCTTTGGCTCTAGAGCTTTGTCAAGTTTGGCGCTAAGAGTTCTAACCTATTTTTTTTCAAATATGACAAGTCTCACAACCCAAATTTAACCATCTACTCTTGTCTTCCTCAATGTTTACTTTTGTTGCTTCCACCATAGACTTTTTGAGAGCCTCTAATTCTCTCTCGGAATCAGAGATCTTTTTCTCTAAATGAGTGAAAATTTGTTTGTTCGAAGCTAAACATTTAAAGGCTTCCTTAGCCCCATGGTGCAAAGTATCAAAAGCATGTTGTAATTCAGAATGAGACATTTTACTAGAGTTATCATATTTAGCATGTCTTACCTTTTTATTCTTTTTCTTTTGATGAACGGAGAGACAAAGGTTAACAAACTCTTCTTCATCATTTGAACTATCATCACTAGATGACTCACTATCGCTTTCCCAAGCAATGTAAGCTCTTCTAGGTTTGTCTTGTTGGATGATTCATTTCCTTCCCTTTGTCCTTCTTCATCAATGGATAATCCGGCTTATAGTGCCCGACTTTTCCATAATAGATCGTTTGATTTTACTACTCTTCTTTCCTTCATTCTTGGAAGACCTTGTCTGTATTCTAAAGTTGACGAGATTCTTTTTCGAATGTTGAATACTATTTTTCTTTATATAGCGATTATATCGCCTCATGAACAGTCTCTTATCCTCATTCGTTTCTTCATCATCGTCATCACTCGATTCACTATCACTTAATTCTTTTACGGAGGACTCTGAACAAGAAGCCTTTAGAGCTATTGACTTCTTTTTCGTGTCTTTGGTCCTTTCTTTCTTTTCCTTATTCTCAAATTACTTAAGACTAATGAGCACTTGCTCATGTTCTTGGAGCTTTCTAAATAAGTTTGTGATGTCTAAAGTCATGAGGTCATTGGCTTCTTTAATGGTTGTAACCTTTGGTTGTCACTCCCTAGTAAGACACCTCAAAATTTTATTAATAGCAACCTCATTAGAAATTGGTCTACCAAGTAAATTTAGTCGATTGATTAAATGAGTAAATCTCTTTTGCATGTCGACAATGATTTTCCCTTGCTTCATGTGAAAGAGATCAAACTCTTGAGTCAAAGTGTTGATTCGAGCTAGTTTGACGTCATTAGTTCCCTCATGGAAAAGTTGAGAATACATGTACCTAATTAGCTTAAACAACTCCTAAAAATCAAACACTCTACTTTCCAACTCCTTTTGAGAAAGAACCTCTAAATCCACTCTCAACTCCAAACACCTAAGCTTATCCAAATAAACTTTAATCTTAGAATTCAGATTACTAAACACCTCATTGTTCCAAATCTTAAGAGATCCTTTCAGAGCTTTCAACTTATTCTTAAGCTTACAAGCTATCCAACCCTCTCCAACCTCCCTTATCTAAGAGTTTAGAACCACTGACTCAAAACTTAGGACTCCCCAACCATAAATTATTGAAATGAAACAAGCTTTTTAATGGACAAAGCTAGAATGAATGTTTGGATGATATGGAGAAAAGATCGACTAAGTATGTCCCAATACTACAAGAGATACTAAGATACTAAGATATACTATAAAATTACTCTAATGTAATGTAGAGGATATTATAAAATATTTATAAATTTTCTATTCTAATAATTAATGAGTTGCATTTTGGGCATGTTAAGGATCTGTTAGGTTTTAGCAATTAATAATATATATCTTTATTATTTTTGTCTTAACAACCTTTAAAAAAATTAGTTTGAAAGACAAATAGGGGAAGTGACAATCCTATGAAAAACTTAAGAGACAATTGTAGAATTTCATATGATTATGTTCTTGGAATTTGGAAAGACTTTGAAGGTATCTAAGGGGATTGAAAAATACTTCTAAACACATCAAACTTATGTGATTCATATATAGAGATAGTTGGACAGATTGAGAAACACTTGTTGTAGAAAATAAGGTTTGTTCTTGAGAACTTGAGTGATCATTTTCTTACATATGTTTTGTAATCTCTTATAACAATTCTTGGTGTATAATGAGTCGGAGAGTTGCTCTCTCTCTCTCTCTCTCTCTATATAGTAGATCAATTTGATCGAATTAGATAAAAAAAATTCTTTGAGTTTTTATCTTTTATCTTCTTTTGAATTCTTTATATGTTTGTCTTCACTCTTAACAAATTATTGGGTGTTAAGCCATCAATTTTGGAGGGTCAACACGAGAGAGCATTTTAATTTGGGTTTTTTTTATGAGCAACATACCTTATAAGAGACACACCAGATATTCATAAAAAACTTTAAGGTGCTACCAATCGTTAATCAGTACAGTGGTGATTGGCGCTGGACTTGGTAGGGAGAACCACGGTTCGATCCTCCGCGACTGCGATCGGGAAGGGGCTGGAACCACTTGATGCCAGAACAGACCCCCGAACTAGATTAGGTGGTCCAGTGGGCCGGATACTGGTGGTGAAAACCAAATTAAAAACTTTAAGGTGTTAGGTATGCGAGTTCTCTCACTTATAATTGCCCAAGTCTCCATTTTCTAATCAATGTGAAATTTCCCTATACTTCTTTCTCAACACTTTTAACTCACACTTGTTTTGGTATGTGGACTCTCTCACTTATAATTGTTCAAGTCTTCATTTTTTTAATAAATGTGATACTTCTCCATACTTGTTTCTCAACACTTTTAACTCGCACTTATTTTTGTCAACACTCCCTCTCAAGTGTGAGTCTATCCACAATGCTACCTCTCAAGCGGAAGTTCTTTCATCCACATATACTTTGTACCACCATTAACACTTTTTCAACGAGACATGCCTCCTACCCACCACCATGCAGAGAGAACTTCCGATATTCGGGAGTTCAACACTAGAGAGCATTCTAACTTTGAGATTTTAATGAGCAAAACATCTTGTAAGAGGCACACTACATACTCACCAAAAATCTTAAGTTATATGTGTATGAGTTCTCTCATTTATAAATGCACAAGTCTATACTTTTTTAATCAATGTGGAACTTTCTCACATTTGTTTCTTAACACTTTCAACTCACATTTGTTTTTCTCAATATTAAATTTTGTTTGATATCATTTATTTTGTTTGACATTGTTCTTTGTCGCTACACATCAATTTTTTTAATATGTTAAATTTTGTATAATTTTAATAAGTTATTTAAATTATTCTACCAGTTTTAGAAACATTCTTATGAGTGAAAAACATTGAGTTACTTCCTTAAAAAATATTTTCCTTTTCCTCTTAAAAAATATAAATCTTTTAGTTGTGTCACTAGACTTGAGTTAGTCTAAAATCTATAATATAAGAACATTAATTGTTCTGGTTAATACTACACTAACCCATTGTCAAACAATGTCACATCATGTCTTAAGGGGTAAATTGTGTCTAAATCTAACAATTTACAACTGGATTAGACATTGGTTACAAACAGCTACACGGTTAGCATGAAATAACTGAATAGTTGTAAACACTCTTCAAATTCGAACCACACAATGGTATTGAATTAACAAACAATTTGAACTTGGGAACAACTCCCAAAGTTCCTTTTGCTCAGAAACCGTAACTCTCTCTTCTTCTTCTTCCTTCACTCTCTATCTTCTTCTTCCTTCTTCCTCTTCTTCGTACTCCCTATTGTTCTTCCCCCTTCCCTTTCTTTACAAACAATAATGATACCTTCTTCCTATTGTTTGAATGTTGAAGCGCATCAGAAGAAATTTGTTAGGTTAAATGTTCGTCGTCGACTTCTACACCCCATGGTATAATGTTGGATTCGTCGTTTTTTGTTCTGATATATTTTATTTGATGGAGAAACCATTTTCACTACAACAACTGTGTTGTAGATCTTGCAGGAAAATGAGATTACTGAGTTGAAAATCCAAACTGAGGTAAGCAATAATTACGTGTGTGTAGATCTTGCAGGAAAATGAGATTACGTGTGTGTTATACTGCTGTGATGCTAAAGAAACAACTACATTATTGTTATGGATGTCCCTATTGGAGGAACATGAATCACACCACCCATTTAAATACTCTGTGCAATAAGTATTGTAGATTATATTTCACTCTTGATGCACAAACTTTGCTAACAGCATTGCATATTACAGATTTTGATAGTCCACCTCTGAGGTTAGCATGTGTGGAAAGAATTATAAAAAATATATTATCTCTTTTTATATAAAAAATATATTTTGTTTCAAATATTTTTACCTATGCAAAGAATTATAGCTCACTAATTTATTATCTCTTTTTAAGATAATATCCTTTTTTATTAAACAATTTAATTTTTTAATATCATTTTTATTATATTTTGAAAAAAAATGCACCTACCATACTAGTCTCAAAATAAATTACAGGTAAGTAGATAAAAAAAGACTTTCACCTAACTAAAATGATTGTATTATAATGGCATTGACTTTTATGGACATGTTATACACTTGCAAAATAATGAACACTATCATGAATATAAAATAAGACCAGAATTATTTAGCAAGCATATAGAAACTTTTTGTATGTATGTCATATTAATTAAGATTAACAAAATTTACATGATGATGAAAAGGGAGATGCACTTTGTGCACACACTTTTGTTATTAATTATTTCTCCTCTAGTTTGTGTTAATAGTGAGCACTTTGTTTTGATTCATGGTGGAAGCCATGGTGCATGGTGTTGGTATAAGGTGGCAACTATGCTTAAATCAGCTGGTCATCATGTTACAACTGTTGAATTGTCTGCTTCTGGTATCAATCCAATACAGGTTCAACAGATTCATTCAATTTCAACATATTATGAACCTCTACTCACATTTATGGAATCTCTTCCTCCAAAAGAGACGGTAATTCTCGTTGGTCACAGTCTTGGTGGAGTGTCTACATCTGTTGCTATGGAAAAATTTCCACAAAAAATTTCAGTTGCAGTTTTTGTTACTGCTTATGTGCTTAGTCAAAACCTCACATACCCTACTATTCTTCAAGAGGTACCCTACTAAATTCATATCTTTAGGGTTAAACTTTGAATTACAAGTTGAGTAATTTTTAGTGACTATTTTGCAGCAAGCTAGGAGGAACATTTCTTTAATGGACACACAATTTTTCTTTTTTGATGGACCCAACAAACCTGCAACTGCTAGGCTGATTGGACCAAAATTCATGGCATCAAGGATGTATCAGTTATCACCATCTAAGGTATATATAAACATTTGCAGATGAATCTCAGCAATTTTTTTTTTTTGTATAATTTTAATGAAATTAACTCCAAGTGAAAATTTGTAGGATTTGACCCTTGCATTGTCCCTGGTGAGACCTGTGCCAATTTATAAAGATGTTGAACTATTGAAAAAGGAAACAGCAGTTACCAATGATAGAAATGGAAGAGTACCTAAAATTTTTATCATCAGTAAAAGTGATGATTTAGTAACTGAAGATTTTCAAAAGTGGATGATTGAGACAAGTGGTCCATTTGCTGAGGTGAATGTGATTGAGGATTCTGATCACATGGTTATGTTCTCTAAACCAAACATGCTTACTTCTATTCTTTTAAACATGTCCCAAACACTTATGTGTATGGATTGAGAATATATTTCTATTTTCAATTATTATGATTGTGAATTCCATTGAATATTCGAGTCTTCGCTTGTTTGTTACTTCATTCTTTTTTTTCAACAACAATCATATGTTTATTTTGTTCATTAATCTCTAAGATCTCAATTACTAGTTTTTCCAAATTTTTCTTATCTCTAATCGCTCCACTACGCTTACTTCCTTACAAATTATGTAGTTCTTGTCTACACGCTCAAACCACTAAAATTAATTTTTACAATTTTTTCTATTATATGTGTGACCCAACTTCTTTTTAATGTTGTCATTTATAATCTAACCATAAATAATATTATCATATATACAATTTATCATTCTCATCTCTAACATAATTAATTATTTTCTTGTATTATTTATCAAGGCCGACCCTTCACTCGAGTCACATGCTCCACTGCGATGAGCATCAAATCTTGGGAGGCTAATTTATTTTTTATTATTAGACATAAGAAAAATGCTATAAAAATATCTATGACATAAAAAAATGGTATGGACCAAAAACCAAAACGATTATAATTGAGTCTATTTTTGGTTACTATATAATTGTATTTGTGGGTTACTTATCACACTAGGTAGTGTTACTCATGCATCATATCAAAATTTCAAAAAATAACTCTCAATTTCATATGCATTTAAAACACTAACAATTTTTGGAGATTAAAAATAACCCTTAAAGAAAGATCTTTAAAAACTTCAGAGATTTAAATTCACACGTGCCTAAAAGATTATATCAATATTAGAATCTGGACCACACAATTTTCAAATTACTCTAAACTGGAAAGTCTGAGTTTAATCTAGAGATTGGAATTTGGACACTATTGTTCAGGTAAACCTGGGCCTTTTCCTCCCCCATCACATTTCAATTTTTACAAAAGAGAAAAAATATAGAATACAAAGAAGGGGTACTCATAAATGATTACAGAGCAATTCTCATCATTTTCAAGTCTTTTCATAGCTTATATAAATTTGATTGAAGCTTGTCAAATATCTACTACATTGCATTGCAGTTATTTGAACCTCCTCTTCATTGTGTTGGTATGATGCTCATTTTCTTTCCTTTTTTGATTTCACATGTATACGTTACCTAAATAGATTATATGTCTGATAGTTTAGGCTTAAATGCAATAGAAATGTTTGTTGTGTGTGTCCTGAACTGCTTTGCATTGCATTTTTTTAGCACTATAATTTATAGGGTCCACATGTTTTGTTATGTATTCCCTAGTACTAGTTTTCGTGCAGTCCGGATTGTACAATCCAGTCCTCTTAATCCAGAGATTGGAATTCAAATCAGTACCCTTACTCATGCAGCTAAAAAGGTTGCTAGATTTTTGTAGGATTGGCTTTGGTTATATTAACCATGACTTATTGTATACTTTTATGGAGAGATGATATGTTGAGACGTCGTCATTTCATCTTCTGATAGGTGATATGTCCATCAAATTTAATGATGTATCATGCCTCCTTCATCTTTTCATCAATGGAAAATTATTAAACTACTCTGAAACCACCAGACTTAAGGCACTAGACATGTTGGTGACTTAGTTGGGAGTTGACCTGAGAAAAGCTCAATAAAAGTTAGATGACATGAGAGGATGTCATGCTAGGTTTTCATTCTTATATGATCTATATAAGCACCACCTGGCTATAGCTATGGAAGTTGATGGTGATGATTCATAAGTTGCATACCACAAAGCATGTGAATTGAGGTCACACCTCTTAGTTTTGGTCGACACATCAACTTTTATGGATAAAAGTGTGACATATGTCAATGTAATCTACCTTACATATTTTATTGACTTAGAGAGGGTCCACGAATATAACTTAGGGATTTCTTGTTTCATGTACCCCTTACTCCAAACTAGATGAGGGTAATATGTGGAAGACTTAACAGTTCTCAACATCCCAATTCGACTTTACATAAGCATCTCAATTGGGGTGTACATGATCAAAGGTAGTATCTGAATACGTGACTAGTTCTTAATATCCACGTGATTGTATTCATCAATCACTAGATGATCATATTCACCAATCTCCATGTGGCTATGTCACAACCATCATGGGATTATACACAATTTCCATGTAATTATATCACAATCACAATATACACAATTTCCATGTAATTGTGACATCTCATCTTAAGATCAAATGTGAATTATACTAGTTTGTATAAAAACATATTGTGTATATTGTGATTGTGATATAATTACATGGAAGTTGTGTATAATCCCATGATGGTTGTGACATATCCACATGGAGATTGGTGAATGTGATCACCTAGTGATTGATGAGTGCAATCACGTGGATGTTGAGAACTAGTCATGTATTTAGAAATTACCTTTGATCATGCATATCCCAATTAAGATGCTTGTGTAAAGTCGAATCAGGATGTGACCCCGATGATTAATATACCAACACAAATTCATATGATTTTGGGTCATAACTTCAAGAACAAGACATATATTCAACCATGATACCTCTTCATTCATACTTCATATATTCGCAATAGCAATAATAACAACAACATAGTATCAACACATAATTCAACAACATAGAATATCACAAGCAAGCATGAAACAATCAATAGAACATATATCAGTATCAATTTCCATGATCATAACAAAAATACCTAAACCCTAATTTCCCTATTTCATATAAATATTTTCCCTAAAAGCTAAACTATCTAGAACCCACCTTAAGGAAAATGTAGGAGAAATTGAGATGAATTGGTGAAGATGATGATGATGGTGTTGTGGCTCCTTCCACGAGTTTCTTCTTCTTGTCTTCTCTTCTTTCTCTCTATCTCCTCTTTTCCTCTTCTTTTCCTTTATCTTTCTCTTTTCTTCGTTTTTTCTATTCTCTTCTTCTTATCTTACAAACAATATATATATATATATATATATATATATATATATATATATATATATATATATATATATATATATATATATATATATATATATATATATATATATATATATATATATATATATATATATATATATATATATATATATATATATATATATATATATATATATATATATATATATATATATATATATATATATATATATATATATATATATATATATATAGGGTAGTAAGAGAGAGTGAAGGGAAATATCTCAAAAGAGATTTTTGTTCTCTAGTAACAATTTATCATTTAACAATGTTATTAAAATGTTCTTCCTTTTACCAGTTAGTAAAGGTAAAAAAAAAAGAGTAAAGAATTAAGCTCAATTGAGTTAACTAATTACTCTATTTGTTCTAATTGACAAAAAGTATGACACATAAGAGCTCAATCTGTCTCAACTAACAAAAAATAGAGCATATAGCTGCTCAATTTGTCCTAACTGACAAGAAACATATTACTTAAGAGGATATGGGATAATACAATGCAAGTATACATAATTTGCTATAACAAGTGATAAAAAGAAATAATATTGTTCCCACAAGGAGTGTAATAACTTAGATTGATTTGCAAAACTATCTTTTGTAAATAAGCATGAGAAAAAATAACTATAGTTGATGAGTGTCACAAGTTCAATTTTTAAGTAATCAATGATAGAACAAGTTTGATTGAATGGGTGAAATCAGTAATGGAGAATATGTTGGGAAATAATCCATTAATGTGATTTATCAAATGTGTGTATATGATGTGATTGTCACGAAATTTGGCTTGATGCCTTTCTCATTGCCTTTCATACTATATATAATAGTGTCGGTAATTACAACTCATAATAACTAATTATAGCTGATAATGACTAATTACAATTCATAATGACTAATTTCCTATTCTATAAATGTAAATTATTCACAATAACTGCAAAGATTATTTCCTAATTAACATCCCCCCTCAAATTGATGGGGCTGGTCAAGGAGCATCAATTTGCTAACAAGAAACTGATGTCTTGGGCGTGGAACAGCCTTGGTAAGAATATCTGCAATCTGCAACTGCGTACTGACGTGAGGAAGTGATATTATTCGATCATCGTAGGCGTCACGTATTGAATGACAATCAACTTCGATATGTTTGGTGCGTTCATGAAAAACAGGATTTGCAACAATTTGGATGGCACTTGTATTGTCAGCATAAAGTGAAGTTGACTCTGTTTGGGGAAATCCAAGTTCAGCCATAAGACCACGAAGCCAAAGTATTTCTGAACACGCAGCAGACATGGCACGATACTCTGATTCAGTAGAAGATTTAGAAACTCTTGCTTGCTTCTTACTTTTCCAAGAGATCAATGAAGAACCAAGAAACATACACCAACCAGTAACAGATCGACGAGTATCAGGACACCCTGCCCAATCAGCATCACTATAAGCGCTCAACTGAAGAGAAGTTCCAACGGAAAAGAATAATACGCGGTGAGAGGTTCCTTTTAAGTAGCGAATTATACGACGAACTGCAGCCAAGTGAAGATGGCGAGGAGAATGCATGAATTGACTTACTTGTTGAACAGCAAAAGATATGTCAGGGCTAGTAATAGTCAAGTAGTTGAGGCTACCCACAAGTTGTCGATACAATAAGGGATCAGGCAACAAATCCCCATCATCACGATGATATTTAACATTAACCTCAAGAGGAGTATCTACTGGATTAGCCGATTCAAGACCGGCCATAGAAATCAAATCTGTAGCATACTTGTGTTGATGGAGAAAGATGCCCTTGGATGTAGAATGAACCTCAAGACCAAGAAAATAATGTAGATTACCCAGATCTTTCATATGAAATGAGGCTTGTAGCTGTTGCTTAAGTCGCTGAATGGAAGCATGATCTGAACCAGTAATAACCATGTCATCAACATACAAAAGAAGCAGAACAATACCCGCAGATGTGCTATGAATAAATAAAGATGAATCATACTGACTCTGAATAAAGGAGAATCCAAGTATAGTGGTGCGGAATTTCTCGTACCATGCTCGAGGTGCCTGTTTCAAACCATATAAGGAGCGTTTGAGCTTACACACGCCTT